AACATGAAGATTAATTTTATCTTGCCGTGGGTGTTGGGTTTCTTTTTCTCTCAATAAAGACAGATGTCGCAGTGCTTTCCAAAAGACAGAGCTATCCAACTGATAAATGCCAGAAGGATATACAGCAGAGCAGTTTTTATAATATAGAAATTTATATACAAGTAAAGAAAAAAATCTCTTACCACGGTATTTAATCTGTAGCACAAATTTTAAAATTTTAATAATCCTTGCAGTATTGATATTTAGAGCAGTTGTCCTGAACTACAACCTTTTCCTATAAAAACAAAAAGGCTAGAGACTGGAAAGTAGGTACAAGTCGGGAGAGAATCTATCAAAAAAAGAGAGAAACTGTTAAATAGATTAACAAAAATTTAAAAATAGCAGGTACTCATAGACAGTCAGCTTTACAGTGTTTCACTATGGTAGTTTCTAGCCTGTTTTCCTGTCACCTTGGGCAAATTGTTTTAACCTTTTATGTCCATCTTTTCTACGTTGTTTTGCTGCCCTTACTTACTACTTAACTCATTTCATTTGCATAAAAATATGAGTATAAAGTACCTCTGTTAGTTTTGAGTAGCTCATGGACACCAGGAGTATGTGTGATTTTAATTAGCATTATTGACATGTTTCTAATGTTTTTTAAAAGTATAAGTTTTAAAACTTGATAACAGCGAAAGTAGTGTATATTTTCTGTTAAAAGTTCAGTTCTTCTAACACATTTGATGAATTACTAAAGTAACAGGAAATACAGAAAATAAAAGGAAGGGAAAAACTCCATAAGCTTGGTACCCTAATGAACGGTCTAGTCTACATCTCCTGTCAATGTTTCTACATAATTTCAAAATAGTTTCTTTTTACACATGACTATATTTTATAAGCATTTATAATATTGCTGTCAAATGTCATAATAAATTTATATTTTTTACCACAGTAAACCATGACATAGTTTTAAAAGTTAAATAACTTCACAAGATTGTGTTCTGTCCTTTCCATCCTATTTCTGTTTCCCAAAGGCAACCACTTTCTCTTCTGCTATCTTCTTCAGTCATTTACTTTCAAAATGCATTCTTAAAGACACTTATTAGCCTCATGTTATTTATTAATGTCGTGTTTACTACCACCAACGTTCTCCAGTATAGTTACAGGGGGAGTTTTGGTGATGTAATCATTCAGTATTAATATTATTATCACTTTGTGTAATTACAGCAAGGAGATATGTGTGTATAACTAAATTTCCTTTCATATACGGCATAGACATTTCTTTCTCATAGTTGAGTAATTCATTTTTGTCTTGTGGCTATTATTAATTCATCTCTGAACTTTTGTACGAAAGTGAAAAGTTCTATTTTTTAAACACATTTGATCTTTTATACTGGTACTTTCCATTCTCTTGTTCTAATCTGAACTGATTGCTTTCTAGACCATCATCTGGAACTCTCCTTCACTATCTTGGTAACACAGGATTGACCTATCTAAAGCAGGATTTCCTGCTTTCTGGCTTCAGTAATTATGTCTCCCGCCCCATCCCCATTATGTTGAAGTATATATTCTAATAGCTCACTGAGAACAGTACCTGGGAGATCTATCCATCTATCCATCTCTGTCTCTCTCTGTCTCTGTCTCTGTCTCTCTCTCGCTCTGTCTCTCACTCTCTCGCTCTCTCTCTACCTGTCTGTCTCTCTGTCTCTCTCTCACTCTCTGTGTCTGTCTCTCTCTTTCTTTTTCTGTCTCTGTCTGTTGTCTGTCTGTCTGTCTGTCTGTCTGTCTCCCTTCCTCCCTCCCTCCCTACCTAAAAGTCTTGCTTTTCCCCAGGACTTGGTCAGTGATTTTGTTGGATCAAACTTTTGCAGTCATTGCTCCATTGTGTTTTAATTCCATTGTTACTGTTGGAACTTAAATGCCAACTCATACTCTGTTCCTTTGTGCCTGATCCTATTTTCTCTGTGGAAACTTTTTTAAGATCCCTGATCTTCTTCCTGAAACTTCCTAGGAATATGCCTTGTGTTGACCTGCTTTTTTTTTTTCTTCCTCTTCCTCCTCCTTTTCTTTTTCTTCTTTGACTCAAATATGTCAGTTCTTTTAGTCTATGAATACATTTCTTTCAATTCCAGAAAATTTTCTTGCAGGTGGTTGTTGTTATTGAATTTCTTTCCTCAACTCCATTCTCTTTTTCTGACATACTATTATTTGGACATTATCCTTCCTGGACTGATATTCTTGATTTTCTTTTTTCATATTATTTTCTCTCAATTCTATTTTTTGAGAGATTTCTTCCATTTATTCTTCCAACCTTTATAGTACAGTTTATCACTATGTTATCATATTTAAAATTTCCTCCAGAGTCACTGAATGCTCTTTTTTTATTTAGCATCTTGTTATTTTTGAGTGTAGGCTTACTCATTTTGTTACTTTGAAGTTGTCTTTTCCCTGTGTTCACCACCTTTTCTGAATATATTTACCTGTTTATTTTACATTCTGTAAAGTTACTGGTTTTCCTTATGTCTTGGGATTTTTTGTTTTGTTTTGTTTTTTGGGTTTTGGTTTTTTTTTTTTTTTTTTTTTGAAGAAGCAAAAGAGCTCATAGAAATGCTCTGTGGGAAAGTGGGGCTTGGGGCTTCCTTACTTTTGAGTCGATAATCACAAAAAAAACTCATCTACATCATTGGAATCCCTGTAAATTACAGCACCTGTAATTTTTTTTTCTCTTCCCTTTTAGGTTGATTAGTTTTCTTGAGAGGTATCCTGCAATCTCTAGCCAGTCGCTATCCTGGAGAACATGGGCCTAACTGCTAGTGTACTCACAGTTGAGTGGGGAAGATAACTGACTTTTTCTACTCATTGTTACATGTGGAGCATTTATTTCACCTGTTTTCAGTAACCTCCCTCACTTCCCCCAGTGCCCTTGAGTGAAAAGCCTAACCTAGTCTTCTGCCAGCCTTGGTGAGAGCTGTGTCCTGTCTTAGGTTGGGCCATGGTTTTTGAGTCCCTTAAGTGTGAGCTTTTAAATCCTGCTGCAGCCTCACTTGCACTCCCATTTCACAGGCATCTGGCACTTTTTATTCCTATGCTGGCGAGCAAAATGGCGTCCTCTGGGTTTCTTTCTTCCTTCGCTCGGCAGTGTCTGGCAGGTGGCTTTCGCTTTTCATGGGTCACTGACTTAGTAGCTTCTAAAATGCTTTGGATGCCAGCTCTGTTGTCCTCTCTCCAGTTCATTTTATCTTTTTGTAGCTTTTCTTTTTCTCCCAGTCATCTTACTCTCATTTTGATGAGATTTCAAGAGCTACTAAAAGCAAACTTTGTTCAACTAAACCCGAAATCTGCATAATCATTACTATTTTCATTATTCGTAACTGTATATTTCATCCAGTGAACTTACTATTCTTTACCTATTTTTTGACATTAGTTTCTATTGCAGTCCTACAAAAACATCTTTTAGGCTAGTTTTTCACATTGGATTATTTTCTTAAGAATGTAATAGAACACTGTTTAAAAGTCCCCTCTCTATGCTTTAATTTTGTAACTTCAAAAACTATTTCTAAGATGACAATATGGAATTAACTAGTGATTTCCTACTGTTTATTTTTTCTGAAATTCTGTATAACTTGTACCCTTTTTCTGTTTTTTTTTTTCTTTTTTCTCCTTAAATAAAATTTTTAAAAAATGTAATAGAAATGTTTAAACATCTTGCTTTCTAAAAAAGATAGTATGAGTTTTGAGTAGTGCAGGGTATGTGATTGCCCAACTTACTGTATTTGTTGTTTTATAGGGTAAAACCATTGCTAGTAAAAGTAAGGTAAAACCATACCCTACTTTTATAGGGTAAAACCATTACTAGTTTTACCCTATAAAAATCTTTGACAAGATAACAAGATAACATCTTTTTTTTTTTTTTTTTTTTTGGTCTTTTTCCTTTTTATCGGTACCAGGGATCAAACTCACGACTGCCTGCTTGCAAGGCAGGCGCTTATGCTGTTGAGCTAAATCCCCAGCCCCTAGGAAGATACCATCTTTTTTGCTGATTAATTTTTAAATATCCCAGCAGAATTGAAATAGTTTGTTTTAAAAATAATATATTCTACCTTGTTTAAATTTTTATTCTGATGTTTATTACTTTTGTATTTTAAAAAGTCAAATGAAACTAATATCTATTTTTGATTGAAAAAGAAGAAAATTCATTAATTGATGGTAATGCCACTACCCAGAGTTTGTTTTGAGACTTGTTTTTACATGCATATATGTTATGTATGTGTATGAAAAAATGCAGAAACATATCTGTATGACATACATACTGTTTTAATGTATATATATGGTTTAGCTTGATTTTTTTCATTTACGATAATTTTGTGAATATTTTCTCTGGTCATTAGTTATAATTCTGAAACATGCTCTGATGTTAGCTAGTTTACTTTATATATATATTTTTTTTAATCGGTACCCGGAATCGAACTCATGTCTGCCTGCTTGCAAGGCAGGTGCTTATTACCAATATTTTTTAATCACAGAAATTATAGTATGTAGTACTGTGAAATTATAACCAATTTATATAAGAAGATTTTGCATATATTTGTTAATAGAAAAAAAATTTTAAAGGTTTCTTTTTTGGGGGAGGTTGATTCTTTCCTTTTTTTATGTACTTAGCCCTTCTCTTTAAGATGTATCTTAACAATTCTTGCTCTCCAAACTTACTCATTACAAGTATATTGGATAGTATTAGTTTTTCCTTACCAAATATAGTTCTGTGGACTGTATTGGAGTATCTAGGTTCTGTTTTGTTTTTAATCCATCTTATTTGTCTTCTCCATGTAAACGTAAGTAGAAATGAGTATTTTTTATTTTCCAATTTTCATGCTGAAAAGGTAGTATACTATATACAATAATTTTTCAGTTTGCTATTTTAATAGTTCTTTATTATACATTTTTGCAAATTGTTTAATCATTACCTGTAGATGGACACTTGGCTAATAGGCTTTTTAAAGTATACGTCTTTAAAATTCTTTCAGGTAGATATGGACAAGAGTGGTGAAGTACAACTTATAGAATTGGATGAGTCTTTCAAAAGTGAACACACTGTTTTTGTAACACCACCTGAGATCCCCCATCTACCCAATGGTGAAGAACCCCCTTTACAATACAGGTATTCAAGAAGCAGAATGTTTGAGATTGAAACAGAAGCAATCCATCATCTGTGACGTAGCTTTCTAAGGACTGTAATATTTTCAAAAATCCAAACTTTACAGATACCCAATGTTTAGGTGGTAAGCAAGCTTATCACACACCCATTATTAAATTTTGAGATTTAAATGGAAAAAATACATATAATTTTATGTAACACAGATTTGGGCATATCTCTAATTTATCTCCATAAGTGTCATGAATATTGCTTTTAAGATTAAGTCTAATCTCTTAAGATTAGACTTCCCCCATTCAAATGCAGCACTTTTATTGTAGAATTTGTTTTTCTCTTCTTAATAAACATGATTTCTTCACTTGCACTCCCTCTCTCCTTCCATACATATATTGATTAATGTAACTTTGATCTACAAAAAGTTAAATCTAAAGATCAGTATTTGTGGCTGAGACTTGTATGAGACAATTTCTTAAGCTATTCATGTTTACAAAATTTTTAACTAATAAAAATTGAAAATTATTAAAGTCTATTGTTAATTTAGGATATTTTGTCACACATTGCTAAATGCTGTGTAGGCTTCAGTAATACTGGTTCTGCCTTAAAGTCTAGTGGGAAAAAGGGAAGAGTTCTGAACACAGTAAAATAAGAACTGTGATAGGAGATTCATTATTTAATTTTTAGCACTATATACATTCATTTTTACCTAAAATTGCATTTCCTTTTAGATTTTAATTGGTTTTGATCCTCCAATAATGCTTCTCATTTTAAAAATTCTATAGCTATTTCATATCTGTAAGTTATTTAAATAGTTTGTTATTTTCATTTAAAAAAAGATTTTTCAGTACATCCTTATTTATGACCGATTAAATTTTTCATTTTATAGATGAAAAACTGGTGTACTGAATATTTGTGAATTAATTGATAGGCTGCTTGATTCCTGCTCTTGTCTTTCATTGATAGTGTTGTTCATAATCACTTTTTAAAGTCTGTCTTTTGTCAAAGATGTTTAAAATATTTCTGCTAATATTTTTCTTCCTTTTTCCTTCTAAAATAAGATCTCATTTCTTTTATCTCTTTAGTACTTTCTGTTTCTGAATCTTTTAGTAAGTTTCACATAGTTTTTATTTATGTGGTTTGGTTTTCATTTATAATTTAATGTTACTTTTAGATTTAGTCCTTTTTTTTAGATTATTTAATCTAAAACATTCTCAGTTTTTATTTATTTATTTATTTATTTATTTTTTTGGAGTACGGTCATTTTTTTTCTTGGACCACCAGTATAACTTGGGTGTGACCATAATAATCACTGGAAGAACACCAAAATGTCTTTAATAACAACAGCGGGTACTCTGAATCAGAGATGGCTCATACTCACACTGTGTGTAAAATAAAGAGACATTTCCTTAAGACATGTAAAGTGGTCACATTGACACCTCCTATATACACAATGGCTTTTTTAAAAAGGACGTGGTTTTCCTAAACTTTTGTGTTATTTTACCCCTGCACATTTACTCATTACTGGTACTTTCTTATTCTACTGAATTTACCTATAGTAATACATAATTATTTACCATGTCTTACCATGTCTTACTGTGTTTAGGTTTCTTTTTAACTACTTAAAGCTGTATGATTTTTATGAGTATTATAATGGAGGCTAATTATGTTGCTTTTGGCTACCTTGTTTCTTTCCAACATGTGTTTTTCCTAGCTGCAACATTTTAAGTACCCAAAATACTTTGTTCTAGCACCCAAAGGAGACCTGCCTCCTCATAGAGCCAGTTTTAACCTTTGGTGTTTTCCAAATTCTACTTCTCCACTTTCCTGGAGTTTTTTATGGTTTTGTTTTTTTGTTTGTTTGTTTTAATATATGTGTGGTCCTGAACAGCCAGGACGTAACTAAGCCAGTCTTGACAAAACAGTTCATAATTCGAAAGCTAGACCTGAGGTCTAGTATATTACACCTAAAGCTGTTGTTTGCATCTTTTTAAGAGAGTTTCTACAGTACATATGTTAATCCAAAGCAGTGAAGTCTATGGTTGTGTTGTTTGAAAGATTTATATCATGGGCCTCTTACCAGTAGTCACATTTTCTAATATGCTTGCTAATATATTTGCATGAATACTCACTTTTCAAAGTTTGAGATTACTTTGGCATTTGATACCAAGTTCTTACTTAAGTGTATTTTCCCTCACTACTATAAGATAATACTGTGTCTGTATACTTTCATAAAAAAGCAATGATAACGTAAGTATTTATTGAGTATATGTTATAGCCTAGTGGAGATAGTTAAATTCTTGTAAGTTACTGACCATAATTTTTTTAGTTTACAACCACCGTGACTGTCTATGTGTGCTTGAGAATTTTTTTCTCTTTAAAACAGCTATAATGGGTTTCCAGTTCTTAGAAACAATTTATTCGAGAGACCTGAAGGATTTCTTCAAACACAGAAGAGTAAATTACCTTCAAAATTGAGTAGTCCTAATAGCCCTTCCCCCATGTTCAGAAGGACAAAACAGGTACTTAGAAATTTTTGAATTCTTTACATATTCAAGTATTAGAATAAATAGATTTGACACTATCCTCCTTTAATATACTTTACCACTCTGTATACAACTATTACTATATTATTCTCTTTATGCACTCGAAATATAGTTTATAGTAATCTCACATCAGAAAAGTATCCTAGTCACCTTGTCCTAGAACTTTATTTTACATATTGCATAATACATAGTCAAGAGAAGCTTGAAAATATATTAATTTTACACAGATTTTCTTAAGGATGCATTATAAAATGATACGATTTTTACTTTTTAGCATTCCATTAAAATAAGGTAGTCTTAAGTCTGAATGTATTAATGAGATTTTTGCATTTTTCTCTAGGAAATTAAATCAGCCCATAAAATTGCCAAGAAGTATTCTTCCATTCCTCAGATGTGGTCTAGGTGCCTGCTGCGTCACTGTTACGGGCTGTGGTTTATTTGTTTGCCAGCGTATGTGAAAGTGTGTCATTCCAAAGTCAGGGCTCTGAAAACAGCCTATGATGTGCTAAAAAAAATGCAGTCAAAGAAGATGGATCCACCTGATGAGGTAACAGTTATTCTTTACACTGCATCTTTTTGTCCTAGATTTATGTGCATAAGTATTTTTGTTGCTGTATACTGTTCAACTTGTGTTTCAGGTGTGCTACCGCATCCTTATGCAGCTCTGTGGGCAATATGATCAGCCAGTGCTTGCAGTTCGAGTACTTTTTGAAATGCGGAAAGCTGGTATTGATCCCAATGCAATTACTTACGGTTATTATAATAAGGTAATCATTTTTTAATGGAGAAAATTAACTTTTGTCATTATAAAAGCTTAGTTTAATTAGTAACAGATACAGGGGTTGTTTGGTGTTTATTTTAGAGTTTCCGAAATATGTTTTATAAATCAATAAGAATTTTGTGTTCTCCTTCATTTTATAGTCTGCTTTCGTATTCTTTATTCTAGCCAGTGTATGTTCATTTATAAAAATTATTTCATTATTTTTTTTTTTAATAAATAGGCTGTTTTGGAAAGTACCTGGCCTTCAAGAAGTCGTAGTGGCTATTTTCTTTGGACAAAAGTAAGAAATGTTGTTTTAGGAGTAGCACAGTTCAAAAGAGCTTTAAAGAAACGTGCACACTCATCACAAACAACTTTCTCAGGTAATTAAGGGACATACGTGTTTTAGTTTTTCTTCAAAATTAGTTGAGTGATTTGCATTTTGTATTTTTAGAAATTTTTAATGTTTTCAAAATACTGAATACTTTCTGGCTTTTATTAACCATTGAGCAGATTCTAATGCGAGTATCCCTTATCCACAAAACTTAGCACCAGAAGTGTTTCAGATTTGCGATGGGGGGGGTTTAGAATATTTGTATATATATAGTGAGATATCTCCAAGCTGGAACCAGTCTGAACTTAAAATTTGTTTATGTTCCATATAAACCCTGTACACATGGCCTGAAGGTATTTTTGGTGTGCATGTATTGGACTGTGATCTGTCACATGCATACAGCTGGCTGTGGGATTTTGCGCTCGTGATGTCACATTGGTGCTTACAAAGTTTTGCATTTTAGATTTTTGGATTAGGGAAGTTCAGCCTGTTTTTTGTTGTTGCTGTTTTGTTTTTGTGTTTGTTTTTTTGGTACTGGGGATCGAACTCACAACCTCATGCTTGCAAGGAGGCGCTTACACCACTGAGCTAAATCCTCAGCATAGCCTATATTTTTAAAAAATTTTTAAACTTAAATTTTTTTTCTCTCCAATAAATTATCAACCTTTGGTTGTCTTGTTTCAGTATTCATTGATAATTCATAGTAGGTTTTTTTGTGTTGTATTTTGCTGCTTATGTGGCACTTTTCATATTTATTATTACATTAGTACACTATTAGCTTGAACAACAAACTCTTATGTATATTTTTGGTGTCTCGTTGAGTAGTAAAATGATATCAAATTGTGTTCTTAAGCAGATGGCAGTGACCTGGATTCTGTTAGTCATGGCAGCATGGATAGTGTTCATGGGACACACACTGTGGAGCAGGCACCTTTTAATACGGGTTTAATCAAAGTGTATGCTACTGATGATAGATCTAGTACAGGTTTGTGTGTGCTTATGTATATATTTGTTACAGTGCATTTTCATAACAAGATTTGCTAGCCTGTATTTTTAAAATTTTTATTTTCAGTGAAAAGTGCTTAACTGTCACTTTTTAATTTTATATGTTAGGTACTTAATTTCATACCGAACTGAATAACTACATGTAATTTTATTCTTTGAGAGGTTGTAAAATACTTTAAGAATTTAGTCCATAATAATTTAACTCTGAGTAGCCACACGTCTTCACTGTATCTTTTGCTTGCTTTTTCTTTTTCTTTTTTTTTCTTTTCTGCTCCTCCTCCTCCTCATCCCTCCCTTTTTCCCTCCTCCTGCCTTTCTTAACCCCTCCCACCTTTTTTTCTCCCTCCCTCCGTCCTTTCATTCTTCCTTATATCCCCTGCCTCCTTTTGTGTACAAATGGTGCTAGGCACTGAACACAAGGCCTTACAGTGGTAGGCAGGTGTTGTACCTAGCCCCTTTACCATGCCATTCACTTGGATAATTCTTTGTAATTATGAAAATATTGATAGATTTTGCTCTGTTTCTTAGTAGTATTGCTGCAGTGTTAATTCTCTGGTTTTAACATTGCCCTATGGTTATATAGGGTATCAGTAGGGAAGTTGGATGAAAGGTACCCCAAGGACACTCTCCAGTGTGGTATATTCTTATGGATCTTACACTGTTTTAAAGTTAGAATTTTAAATATTAAAAATAGCCTTATAGCATGGAAGAGGGAATAGGGTTCATTGAAATATAAGCTTTGTACATAAACCTTCTCTTTTGAAGCCAAAATACTTAAAAATATATTACATTAGTCTGAGTTTTCACTACTACATTTAAAAATTATACATGGTTTTTAACATTTTTTGTACATAATTTTTAAAAAGTATAAGCACATACTGTCAATGGACAGAAACTTTAAAACTGAAGCATTATTGATAAAATATGAATTTATCTGCAGTGTCAACATTTTTTTAATCTGTCTACCTTTATTTCTACTTTAAGATTAATAAATATAAGCTAGTTATGTTGAAATATAGTAATTTTTCTTTCACTGGTTTTATTTCTTTTCTTTCTTTCTTTTTTTTTTCCTCTCTCTTTGAGTCAGGGTCTCACTGTGAAGTTCAGGCTTGACCTTGAGCTCACCAGGCTGGTCTCAAACTCACAACAGTCCTCACGCATCAATGGTTTTATTTCTTCATAATTTACTATGAATTTAATCAGTTGTAGCCATCATTCTCAGGCATTATCTCTGAAAAATGGTGAGATCTTTTATTTTTAACTATGGCTTTTTAGAAGTCTATCTTAAACCATGCGGAAGCTTGTAGACATGAATTTCAAGATTATGTGATTCTATCTGTAATTTTGTTGCAAATGGGATTTAAAAATTTGATTAGAAAAATGCAAACTCAAAATTACAGTGAAGGCATAAGCACCTGCCTGGAAAGTACAAGGTAGTAAGTTCAATCCCTGGTATCCAAAAAAAAATGGGGCTTAGTAAATTCAATCCCTGGTATCCAAAAAAAATGGGGCTGGGGCTTTAACTGAATGGCATAAACGCCTGCCTGGTAAATGCAAGGTCATGAGTTCGATCCCCAGTAACAACAACAACAAAAAGTTATAGTGAAAGTATTGAAGTAAATGCCTACTGGTATATAATATTTTTAGATTTATTCACAAGTTTATCAGTTTTATTTTTAATCTAATCATACCAACCGAGTGTTGACAAATCTGGGAATTTGAGATTCAAACAAAAAGATTAAAGTTGATGCCAGACATGATGGTGCATGCCAGGCATGCCGGCGTGTGCCTGTAATACCAGCACTTGGGAAGCAGGGCAGGCGGAACATGAGTTCAAGGCTATCCTAAGCTAGTCTGTTTAAAAAAAATCAGAACCTTGTCTTTTGATACTAATGTAGTGGAAACAATTAAAAAGTGATAACAGGCGTCTTTCGCAAAACAGTGTAGTTTTCTTAAATTTATATAACTTTGCTTTCTTAGCAGTAACTTTAATACTAGATATTTTTTTCTTATTTCTATATATTAGTACATCATGTACAATCCTACAATGTTTCACTTAAATTTTGAAAACATTGTCAATAAATTTAAAGAAATTTAACTCTTTGGTAGAGTCATCAGATGCTGCACTCCACTCTATGTATGAATGTTCTATTATATCTTCCATGCTTAGTTGAAACCAAATAAAGAAGATGAGCTGATTTTTCTGTGTCTTTTAGTGCACACATAGTAGTGTGAATAATCTTTTTACTGCACTGTGGAGCCAAAAGTAAATTGTTTTGAAATTTCTTACATGAATGGAAACATGGTAGGGATAGCTTTCAATTAGAATTTATTCAAAACACTAATATGTTGCTTCTGATTTCAAGTGCTTTCCCTAAAGAAGTATGATAAACAACATAGGGTGTTTTTTTTCTTTTATTTTACCAGGTGGACAGTCTGATCTTGGGTACAGTTCATTATCTAAGGATGAAGTTAGAAGAGGAAATGCATCTACTGAGTATGTTCAAGAAGAAAAAGATAAAAAAGAGAGTGATTCTAGTTCCTGTAGGTATTAAGTTAAAAATATGTAAAATTTTGAATTTATATATTTATAAAAAAATAGAAGTGCAACGTTTAAGTAATAAAGTATATCTTTCTTTCTTTGTAAGCTCTCCCTACCAATTTAACTAACCAATTTAACCAATTTAACCAATAATACTTTTATACAGATTTTTCATATATGACCTCAATGACAAAACACTGTTCAAATAGTATAAAATTGAATGATGTGTAGCTCACAGAATACTCTTATTGTTGGAGAAATATAGTATTCATACAGGTATGTGTTCAAACAGAATCTCTTTTCTGAGGTTTAGCTACATTTTTAGTTGAAGTTTTGTAATGGGTTGTGGCTTATAATTAACACCCCAACTTCCTCACCAAAAGCTCACTTTCACAACTAAAGAGGAAATATAAAATTTGAACTTCATGTTTGAACTGTACTTAATAATTTGACTCATGCTTTAAGACCTCAAATTAGTGGAATGAATTATTTGTGGGTAACTAATACATAAAAAAGAGGTATTCACTATATTCTTATCACCAGTTTTAGGTAGATATATTTTAAAACTAAAGGCTCCTTCTCTTTATACATCCTATCGTGTATATAGATACATTTTATTAACATTTTCATTTTCATCTTTATAGTGTCAGAGAACGAGAGTGCAAAAGGAAGTGCTGACTGCCTTCCTAAGCTCAGTTATCAGAGTTCTTCCAGTATAGTCCGCCTCAGTGGCACAAGTAATAACAGTGGTGACAAAATGTCAGGAGAATGCACAGGTGAGTTGTAGAGAACACATTTGTTATGAGCAGAATGGATTGTACTATGACCTAGTGAATATTTGTTTTTAATGAGTCTTTGTTCTTCCTAGTTATTTTAAAAATTATATTTGTATAGCCTCTCATGGTATAGCTGAGTAGTTTGAGTTTTATATTTTGTGGCTTATTTTGTTTGAGCTTTTATTATAACAAAGTATGTGGCATACCTTCTGTTACACACTTCTTTTTGGGTTTGGACTTTTGGGACTTTCTGGAAGAGGGAAAGGAGGAACAGGAAAGGTGATGCATTTAAGGATGCCATACAGCTAGACAGTTTTTAAATGAAACTTCTGCTTCTTTAGTTTGCATAGAGTCAAAAAGAATAGCCCTTCAGATAACTTAACATTGTCTGTTTTTTTCTTTTCAAAGTCCTCTTTTTTGTTGTAATGGGGATTGTACCCGTGACCTCATATATGACAGGCAAGCACTGTACCATTGAGCTACATCCTCTACTCCTTTTAAAGTATTATTTTATTTGGAGATAGAATCTCTGCGTTGCCCAGGCTGGACTTGAACCGGAAATCCTCTTGCCTCAGCCTTTCAAGAAGCTGGGTTTATCATCTACCACTTTACTCAGCTCAAAATAATATTTTTCACTACAGCAACATTTGGCACTGCTTTTTTTCCCCTTAGGTGTGGGGATTAAATTCGGGACCTTTGCACTGAACTGTATCCCCCAGGCCTTTTTTGTTTTGTCCTCTGAGAAAAGATCTCGTTGAGTTCCCCAAGCTGAGTTTAAACATAGGATCCTCCATCTCAGCCTCCCAGAGTGCAGTGTTTAATGTTTCCATTACTCTCTGTTTATGCTTGCTCTTTTTTTAGGATTTGCTTCTATGACATTTTATGTAAATATTATCATAAATGATCCTTTGAACCTGACATTTTGTCAGAGTAATAAATATCTGTTCATCTGGCTTTTGGCTACCCTGTATGCTCAACAATTCAATTTTATAAAAGCTTATAATGGATTTCATTAGTATGTGTTACAATTATTAGTTTGTCCTTGATATTTTTAGCTTAAAAACTTTCTATTTGTTAAGTACTATGAATTTATCACTACTGCTAAAGACAATATATGTGATTTGCAGCATGCTTATTTTTTTTAAACTTTGTGTCTTATTACATTCTAGTACATTCTGGGATTCAAAGCATCCTTCAGATTATGTTTTACAGTACAACATTAGATATTTATATCATTGGATACATATTTGCATATGCATACATGTCGTGTACATATGTACACAGTGGTCTACTGCTGAAAGATATGGAAATAAACGGATGTATTAATATTTGATTGGATGGTAAAATAAAATCTTCAACCTCTAGTTCTTTCACGATTATCTTAAAAATTTAATGATTTGGTAACTATCTTAAATTAGTTTTAAGATATAGAGGTTAGCCAGAGGAAAATATAACTCAGATGTTTCTCTAAACTCGATTCTGGTTTAACTTTTTGTCTTTACCAACAACAAAATGTATCGTATTCTGATACGTATGTCGTATGCTGTATTGGTCTGTTTAGTGCAGTTGTCGCCTAGCGGACATTATTCATTCAGTAAATACTTTCTGTTCACTGCCATGTACCAGGTATTTCTGGAGATATTTAAGGAACAAAAATTAAATGGAGCCCCTGCATTCATAGAGAAAACAGGTGGGAAGAAGGAATGGAAAGATGATAAGTCCTTGTAAAATTAGTCCAAAATTATATTTGGGAAGAATGGTTATAAGTTGCTGTGAGAACATACAGTAAAAGATGCGTCTTGTTTGGAGGGATACTGACTGGAAGGCTTCCTTGAGAATATGATTTTTCAACTTAGATCCGAAAGAAGAATAGAAAATAAATAAGGATAAAGATTAGGAAGGAGGACTTGAGAGGGCGGATCCCAAGTGAAGGGAACCATATGTAAAAGGCTGTGTGGTAGAAGTCTGTCACACTGTGTTCAAAAATTTGAGAAAAGGCTAATCTGTAAATTTCAGAAAATGCGATTAACAGTGGCTTCAACAAATTGAGATTTATTTTTTTTCCAAATAAGAAATTCAAAGGCAAGCACTTGTTCTAGATATTAAGGGACTTTGCCATCAATTTTCTTGACCTAACCATGATTATAATACAACCACTGGTATCTCTACGTATACTCTCTCTGTTCAAAGCAGAAGGAATGAGAAGAAGAGAACAAACTATTTCTATTCCTTGGGTCAGGGAAACAAAAGTTTTTCCAAAAACCCTCATAAACTCCCACATTACTGTCACTGCTTAGAATTATGTCATTAAAGCTACCTAGACTAAGAAAGTTTTATCGTCTGTCACCTCTGTGGTAGAGACATGCAGGATTCAGCCCAGCCTGGTAGAATCTAGCATGTATGTATATTTAGGACTGGGAAAACTTTTCTATGCAATTCCATAATATTATATTTGCATTACAAGATTCCTGTAAGCTTTTTATAATTTTAACTTGTCAGACATAAGTCAGAAAATAAGTCTTGATTTATATCCTTAGTCATAAACTGACAAAAGAAAAAATTGTCTCTCATATTTTCTTTACCTTGTTAATAATACATGCTTATTAAACAATAATAGTTTTTAATCTTTTATGGCCTTATTGTTATCTTTTATCTTTTCTTTCTGCCTGCATGTATCACATGGCAAGAGAAAAAAGGTATACTTTTAGTAATTGGCTAGTTCCAGAGATCTAATTCTGTTGAATAAAGCACCTAAAAAAAATAATTGGCAGTATGTGGTACCTAACTTAATGCTTTATAAGACTCCCATAATATAAGAATGATTAAAGATATCAAAAACCTGGATTTCTGTTTTCAGCATAATTAACAAATTTGGTAGGAAGCAATGAACAGTGTTTCTGAAAAATGTGAGGTAGCCATTCATGTTCCATAGATGTGAACTTGCAGTCAATATGTTAAGCAAATGTAAAATTACTTGCTGTATCTGTAGTACCAAAGATTTGGTGATTTTTAGAATAAATTTTATTTATGATAGAATCAATGTAGCTGCTATCTGTTATGTTTGATTTGATGATTTTGGGGGCTTGTTTTTCATCTTAAGAAGCAGAAGACTCAGAGTCTCAAGCTCATATAGCACCACAGTTGTATGGCTATGGTTATTTAATCCATTTAGTGGAATTAATGTGCATATATTATTATTAAATGTAAATCTCTCTTCATGTGTGTGAGTCGAGGGATTAAAGTCAAGGCTATGCACATGTTAGGCAAGAGCTCTGAGCTATATCCCTCAGCTCCCTGGCTTTATATTTTTGAGACAGAATCTCACCAAGTTGACCAGGCTGGCCTTGAACTTGTGATCCTCAAACCTTAGCCTCCTAAGTAGCTAGAACTAGAGGCATGTATTAGAAGAAGTACATCTTAGTGTTTAGGAACAAAACGTTTAAGCAAATCTGGATTCGAATCACAGTTCTATTATCTAAGGACTGGGTAACTTAAATCTGAGTACTTTTTCTTAACAAATAAGAATGTTGAAATGTCTGCAGTAGATAGTATAAGTGCTTAACATAGTATATGTCAGGTAACAGGAAGGCAGTGAATACATTGTAAGATCATTTTCATTAGTAGAATTTTAAATACTTAAGATAACTTACATTTGCATATTATATTTTTATGGCTAAAAGTACCTTTCTCATTTTTCAGAAAGCCTACCAAAGCAGCTCTTAATGTCAACTGTTGAGGATATGAATGAAACGGGTAACATTCAAAGTAGATGCTTCAGGAAAAGACATAAAAGTGACAATGAACCTAATTTGCAGCAGCAAATAACCTGGGGAAATAGAAACCGTAACCTCAGTGGAGGTGTATTGATGGGATTTATGTTGAACAGAATTAATCAGGAAGCAAACCCTGGAGATATAGTTGAAAAATTAGGAGCCGATGCAAAAATTCTTTCAAATGTTATCTCAAATAGTACAAGACCAAATAGTCTTGATATTGGAAAGCCATCTTTAAGATCAAAAAGGAATAGTCTAGAAAAGGAATCCAGTGATGATGATACACCTTTTGATGGTCCTAGTTGTTTGGCAGATAAAATGGACTCTGCTGTTATTTTTGACTTAGAAGATTTAGACAATGAAGCAGACAGATCAAAAGTGGGATATGTTGCTACACAAAATCCCAGGAGGATTCAACGGGTGAACAGCAGCTTTTCAGTAAAACCTTCTGAAAAAACTGATGTTGTAACAGGATTTGACCCCCTTTCTCTCTTGGTTGCTGAGACTGCACAGCAGCAAAAAGAAGAGGAGGAGGACGATGAAGATGACAGCAAAAGCATTTCAACACCATCTGCTAGGCGTGATTTAGCTGAAGAAATTGAGATGTATATGAATAACATGAGCAGTCCTTTGTCAAGTCGTACACCAAGCATTGATTTACAACGGGCGTGTGATGATAAATCGACCAATAAAAAAAGCCCAACACTGGTCAAGGCAAGCAGAAGATCTAGTCTGCCTCCTAATTCTCCAAGGCCCATGAGACTTACCAAATCTAAAAGTTACACAAAAAGCGAGGAGAAAACAAGGGATAGACTGTGGTCTTCTCCAGCTTTCTCACCTACTTGCCCATTTAGGGAAGGATCTCAAGACACGTTAACCCATCCATCACCTTCATTTAACTTAGATACACTACTAGTACCAAAACTAGATGTTCTAAGGCATAGTATGTTCACTGCTGGAAAAGGAGTTGCAGAGAAAGCAAGCAAGTGGTACTCAAGATTCACCACATATGCCGCATCATCCAAGGTAAGTTTTGTTAGTCTTTGCTCCGTTTGTGTTCATATATCCTCTATCACCATAGAAAGTCTCTACTTGCAAAGATATTTGTTTTAACCATTCTCCTTAAACATAGCTTTATAAAAAGGATACATGAGATGTGTAAGGTTTGTAAGCAACAGAATTTAAACTGAATTGATGACTTTATAAGAAGGAAAATTCATTTAAACTGTATTTATAGTTCTGTTTGAAAAACAGTGATTTCTACCTGGGGGAACAGTTCACGTAATGTAAAAGTTTAATGATCAAGTTTCAGAATTTCCTTCACAGTGTACTTTTCTTTAGACAGTGTACAGTATGCCTTCAGAAATTACCAGCCAGGCATATGATTTCTCTTTCTGGTTAGGCTGAAGTAGTTGATAGACCTTCATACTTCACAAGACCAAAACTCTAGATGAAGTATAGAAAGTGCCAGTTTACAGTCATCAGACAGCTGCTAAAGCAACTAAAAAGCAGAGAGGTGCAGGATTCTAGAGAAAATTACAGGGTAAGATAAAGTTCTACACTCACTTTTTCCAGAAGGCATTTGACATTTTCCTCATACTGATACTTCTTGAAACAGATAAGCACAAAGCTCTGAAAGATAGTTCTCATTAATCTCCTAGTAGTGTTCATGATCTACTCAGGGCAGCAAGAACTTTGGTGAACATACCCTGTCCTCCACCCTGCTGAGCTCTACCTTACGAGCACTGGCAAACTATAGGTCCTGACCAAAACTGCAACCTACATTTGTTTAACTCCAGTCGGTGGATAGTTAAAAATAGTCCTCTTTCATCTAGCAGAGAAGAGAGTGTACCCTTTCTAAAGGAACAGAGCGTCTAAAGTCCTTATGATTTTTTCATATCAGCATTTGCCCTTCAGTTAAAAATAGCTGTGCCAAGAGACAAGATCATGACTGGAAAACAAAAGAAAAACAGACAATAGAAACTGAACTCAGGTGATCCAGACACTTGAACTATCCAGAAACTTTAAAGTACTTATATATTTAAGACAATAAGGAATAATATATTAAAAATAACTGCAAAGATGAGCGTTTCACTAATTAGAATCTGTTAAAAAGAATTAAATGTAAATTATAGAACTGAAAAGTGAATGCAGTAGTTAGATTTAACTGCAGATAAAACACAGGAATATGAGACTGGAGATAATAGCTCAGCAACCCAAGCACCTGTGTGGCCAGCTCAAGATCCTGAACTCAATTCCTGGTACCATTCAAGAGAATAAAAGTAAACATTTCTTTGCAATGAATTAAGAGAAATTAGTAACAAACATTTTGGGTTTTGTTTTGTTTTTTGTTACCAGGGATCAAACTCATGACCTCACACTTACAAGGCCGTTGCTTATGCAACTGAGCTAAATCCCCAGCCCAGAAATTAGTAGTATGACTATCTTAACTATCATATATGTATTTTTACTTATTTATTTTGCTTTTCCCTTTAATCCATTCCCCATCCCAGTTTCTCTTCCTTTCGAAGCTTTTTCCTATTTTACAATATCTATTGCACATTTTGGATCTTATTTACTCCTTGAGCTACTCATACTTAGGAGACAAACACAGTGTTTACCCATATGCATCTGGTTTATTTCACTATGAGTATGGTCTTGAGTTGCATCCATTTACCTATAAAATTCTCTGGTTTATCCTTCTTTGTGGCTAGGGATAAAAAGACCACATCTTTTTTATCTATTCCTTGGTTGATGGGCATTTGGGTTGTTTCCAAGATCTAGCTATTACAAATTGTGCTGCTGACTGTAGTATGATGTTTTTAATTCTTCTAGGAAAATACTCAGAAGGGGAATCACTGGGCTAAATGGGACCTGCAATCCTAGTTTTTTGAGGAATTTTCACACTGATTTCCACAGTGGTTGCACCAGTCTATACTGCCACCAATGTGAAAAAGGAATCCTTTTTCCCCACAGCCACAGCATTTGTTATTTGTTGATTTCTTGATAATAGCCATTCTTTCCAGAGTAAGGTGGGATGTCAATGTTGTTTTAATATGCATCTCTAGAATGACCAGTGATGTTCAACATTTTTGCAAAAATTTATTTAATATTTGAAATTTGTATTTCATCTGACAAGTATGTATTAACCTCAGATGCCCATTTTTGGATTGGGTCTTCAAATTTGAGAGGTCTGAATTTTTTTTTTTTTTAGCTCTTTTATGTTGTCAATAGTAATGCTTTGTCTGAGGAACAGCCAGAAAGCATGGTTAATTATGCTCACTCTGTTAGTGGTTTCTTTTACTGTGCCAAAGCTTTTTCTCTTTTTTTTTTTTTTTTTGGCAGTACTAGGGGATTGAACTCACGACCTTGCTCCTGCCAGGCAGGCGCTTATGCCTCTGAGCTAAATCCCCAGCCCTGTGCAAAAGCTTTTTAAAAGATGACATCTCAGATGTTTTCTTGTGCAATCAGGGTTTTATTGATAAAGTCTTCACCTACACCAGTGTCTTTAAGAGTTTTATCTAGTCCATCTTGCAGCAGATTTAATGTTTCTGAAAAAAAGATTTAATGCTTCTGTTTTAATATTTAGATCTTTGATCCATTTCAAATTTAGTTAATGCATGGTGAAAGATATGAATCCAATTTTAATCTTTGGCATGTGCAGAGCCAGTTTTTCCAGTACCATTTATTAAAGAGGCTGTCCTTCTTCCAGTGAATGTGTTTGGTACCTTTGTCAAAGATAAGATGACTGAGTGTGTCTGGAGTTGTTTCTGTACCTTCTGATCTGTTCTACTGATCTTCAGATCTATTTTTTTGCTGTTCTTACCACAGTAGCTTTATAGTATAATTTCAGGTCAGGGATTGTGATGTCCCTGTCATGCCTTTGTAGCCCATAATTGCCTTTGCTATTTGAGGTTTCTTCTGGTTCCAGATAAATTTTAGGATTGGTTTCTCTAATTCTGTGAGATAAGTTATTGGAATTTTGATCAAAATTGCATTAAATCTGTATAACAGCTTTGGAAGTATGGCCACTTTCACTATATTGGTTCTTCCTACCCAAGAACAAAGGATATCTTTCAATTTTCTGATATCCTCTTCAGTCTTCTTTTTCAGAGTATTGTAGTTTTCAATGTAGAGGTCTTTTATTTTCTTTGTTAGATTTATTCCAAGATATTTCATTTTTTAGATGCTATTGTGAAAGGTACTGTTTCCCTAATTTCTCTTAGTGAATTTAACAAACATTTATAAAGCTAATTACCAAGAATTTTCCAAAAGTGATTAAAGATATCAACTCACATATTTAAGAAAGTATACAAATGTCAAGCAGAATACAAAGAAGACCATATTTAATCCCCTAATATTAAAATAAAGATGAAATACAAAGCAAAAGTATTAAAAGGATCTAGACAAAAGAGATAAATTATCTTCAAAAAATGGTAAGAACCTAAACAGAAAGTGTGATGTCACAAAGACATAAAGTGCCCAACAAAATAACCCCCCACCTATTTTATCATACCCAGCAAAAATATTTTTCAAAATCTACAGTGAGAATTCTGAGTTTTAGTACAATAATAATTGAGCCATTATAGCTCATAAGTGCTATGGCAGATTGTGGAGCAGTACCCACCAAGAGGTGAGTTTCCTAGTTTCTTTTCTCTTGCCTCTTTGCCCCAGGAGTAGTCACAGTTTTCCATAGCAGCTCTATCATCAAAAATTTCAAGAAAGAGTGGTATTTTCTGCTCAGAGAAATAAAGAAAAAGAGCTTATTTAGGTTGAAGAATTTGAAGAAAATCCCACACAAGTCTCAGCTTAACTCTTGAGTTATACATGTATGGGATAGATGCAAACCAGCACACAAAATACTGCAGAGCTAATGTGAGCAATTAAATGGTGCCAGTGGAACACAAAACATAAAAAACCATTCTGTCTGATTTTTAGTGTGTCTGCTAAAACAGAAACATCAGCATTCTCCAAAGTATTGTAATAGTACTCATTCTACTCAAGCTGACATTTACAATGTCTAATATAAAATTGAAAGTTATTTGATACAAAGAACCAGAAAGGTCTTGAGATATAGCTCAACAATAGAACACCCGCAGAGCATATGTAATATCCTTATGTTCAATCTCTGAGCCAACAAAGTACAAAAAGCAAACCCGAACAAAGATTTAGCCAGTTCTTTTTTTTTTTTAATCTTTTTTTAAAATTTTACTTAAGGAGAAAAAGAAAAAAACCAAAAAGAGGGACAAGTTATACAGAATTTCAAAGAAAAATAAACAGTAGGAAATCACTAGTTAATAGATTACATCTTGTCATAAATAGTTGTTCAAGTTACACAATTAAAGCATATAGAGTAGACAGTGAGACTGCAAACAGTTCTGTTCAATGATCTAACAAAAACTCAGTAATATGGTTATCTATCTTATACACTTAAATACACATGCAGTTATATCCTTTAGAGCACTGTCTTTTCCTCTCTTTTTTACAATGACAATTACACATTTTGGGTTTTATTACTCCCACAGTTCTTATTACTTTTTTAAGAGAATAAAACCAAATGTGACATAGCAAAACAGAGTCAGTCAAATCAAAAGGATGGACACAGTACATAATGTAAAAACAGAATACAAGGTGATCAACAGTGGTTACCATAATGCCTCTTGCTATCTTAAAAAGAATTGCCTATATCATCAGTTATAATAAAATTGAACAAAACAGTAAAGAACAAAACCAATAAAACCAAAACATTGGAGACATTATAGGACTTCAAAAGAAGATAATAGTCACACCAGAATGGGCATCATAGTGAATATTATTGCCTTCGCAGTTGTTGCCTATACTCTCAAACTTGGTACTATCAAGCAAAACTGAATAGAGTAAAATGAGTCAAAACAAGATGGTGAGAGCAATACAGGGTTTCAAATCAAATTAATAGGAAATCACAGTGGGTTACTATAATATATCCTGCTATTTTTTATTTTCTCTCTTAATTAAAAAGATAAAAATTAAAAAATAATAAAAAAGGA